GTGCACGCTTTCTAACGCTTTAGCGAGTGATTATCCTCTCGTCCGGTATTCACCTTCTTATTTTGCTGTTTTGCTCGTGTGAACACAGTTATTATTGTCAGTCGTGCTGCTTCTTGATTCTAAGATTAAATTTGCATGAATATCGGGCCATGCATATTGTCGAACCCTGCTTTTAAGAAGACTATAATTTAAAAATGATTTGCAACCAGCCAAAGTGTCTAGTGGAGGTGTCTGTCTAACCCGCCGGAGCTGAAATCTGCCCGCATTGGTCAATGTAAAGCCCTGGTTGCAGTATACTATTATCATTGATCTGCAGTTATAATCAAACTGTTGAAATAAATGCAGTATTGATGTGTGTAAAGCATCTGTGTTGAGAGCAGTGCTTGTCGTATGATATGTGAGCGACCCGTACTGCTTTACTGTAGACATTAATAGGAGTGAGAATGACGTCGACTGAAACTCTCTGTCGTACACCACGCCCACCAAAAGCTACCCTTAGTAGTAGAAACGCAAGCCTGATAAAGATGAGCCGTACCGTGCTGTACTGTACCAGTCAGTGTAAACGGGCCATTACAGCGTTCTAGTTCTGGCTGTTTGTAGTGTGAGCTCGTAGGAGAGGAGTGTGGCCGCAGCTCGTGACTTACTAATGATACTATGGCAAACTGAATGAAATGAAGGAGTGTTTATCTTGATGACTGACACTCAAAGCTCTGAGTCTGTAAAATGATCTGATCTCCCCATCATCATCATCATCATCATCATCATCAGTTCAGACGGTTCCCGCTGCTCATCTGCATGGAGAACTAACCCGAAGCCAGAGTCAGGCGGCTCAGAGACGCTCTCACAATCACACAGCACTACAAATGCCTGGAAATCCTAGTCTTTGACACCATTCGTCTTTAGTGCTTTCTTTAATTACAGCGCTCCCCGGAGAGCCGGCGGGGTAGTTAACCAGTCAGATAAGCAGTAAAGCAATTATTGGGTCAGAATGAATACAATTCTGCCATCTTTAATCACTAGGGGAGTCTGTGCCCGGAGAGAAACAGCAGATCCGGCTCTGGAGATGTGTGTGTTTCTGCAGGTCTCTGGTGTGTTGTGTGCCGTCATCAGCGCTGTGTTTTACTCTCCTGAATCACGCTGAGCTTTACTGGGTTCCTTATTCACGCTTATTCATCCTCCGGCGCTGTATTCCCTCACACACCTCTGCTTTACCTTGATGATCAGCTTCTAGATCAGACGCTCTCAACTGGTGGATCAGGAATGTCAAGGGATTTCACACACGCACACGCACACACACTCACACTACAGTCAGTATCTGCATTTCCACTGTCGGCCCAGTGCGAGCTCGGCTTTAATCGGGCCGGGCCAATCGCCCGGGATGTTGAGCAGTGAGGCTGAAATCATGTCGCGTTTCCACTGTCAGGCTTGTAGCTCACAGCGCCTCATGCAAACCCCGTCCTCAGGACGTCCCCTAAATCAAACACAACCCGCCCACTCCAGAGGGAATCAGCAGATAAAGCACACCATGTGTCTATACGCACAGGCCAGTGTGTTTCCATTTATTAGATTGGTTTACTTGCCGACCAACTGTTGGCATCAAGTGGTCTCGCAACTAACGAAGGGATGACCCAGCGCACCATCCATGATATAACACCACAGAAATGTTCCAGCAATAACTCGCTATAAAAAGTATTTATTACATCCTCGTTTTGGTAGACGCCGTCAAACATTCAGGCCAAATGCTCCAGAGAGACCTCAAACATAAATATTAGCCTGTGATATATGACACTGAACAGGTTATCCCCCTTTATTGAAGAGAATAATTGAAGGATGTTGCAAATTATTCGCATACCTTAAGCAAAGAATACCATTAAGTGTTTCAGGACATAAGAGCATGTAATAAGATATAGAATATACTTGGTTGCGCTCAGCAGATATCCACTAATAAAGCTCTACATTTAACATTTATTTTTACATTTTTCACGTCTAATAAACACAGAAACACTTGTTTGAGGACACAGGACACTCTTTTTATGTGCAGTTTTCCCGATGCGCTGTGCAGGACTGGAGGACAGAAAAGAAGGTTTCTGGTTTAACCCAATAATGCTCTGTTTGCAGGATTTGATTAATATCATCGTCTCCACAGACTTTATCAATAATATTTCAGAACTCCTCTGTTGTTTATTGTTTTTAGTAAATATCTATAATCTTTTTTTTATTTTATTTTTTTATTTTGTTTTGGGTACAGTTAGTGTGATATCCAAAGAGGCAATTGCAGATTAGGAAGGGAAGTGGAGACTAAATAGTTGAGTTTTTAGTGGTTTCTTGAAGACAGCGAGTGACTCTGCCGTTCTGATGCAGTTAGGGAGTTCATTCCACCAACTGGGCAGATTGAATGCGAGAGTTCGGGAAAGTGATTTCTTCCCTCTTTGGGATGGAACCACGAGGCGACGTTCATTCACAGAACTCAAGTTTCTGGAGGGCACATACATCTGCAGAAGTGAGAGCAGATAAGAAGGAGCAAAGCCAGAAGTCACTTTGTAAGCAAACATCACAGCTTTGAATTTGATGCGAGCAGCAACTGGCAGCCAGTGCAAACGGATGAGCAGCGGAGTGACATGTGCTCGTTTAGCTTCATTAAAGATCACTCGTGCTGCTGCGTTCTGGAGCAGTTGAAGAGGCTTGATAGAGTTAGCTGAAGCCCGGCTAGTAGAGAGTTGCAATAGTCCAGTCTGGACAGAACAAGAGCTTGAACAAGGAGTTGAGCTGCATGTTCAGATAGGAAGGGTCCGACCTTTCTGATTTTGTAGTTTAATAAAATTACAGATTTAATGTCATTTTATTAAATCCCATATTTGTAATTCTTTAAATGATGTCAGTATAGCTTAAGCTATTTTATCTAGAAATGACACTATACACAGAAATATCACTTATAAATTAAAACTTTATTATTTAATGCAACAGCCTTAAGGCCCGTGCACAGCGAGACGTTTTTTGCTTGTGTTTTCCGTCGTCATTTAACGCCTTGTGACTAAGTAAAGCGTGCCAATGTGATCGTGCACACCAACACGCAATCGGCAGGCGTAAAAGCATCATTTTTAAAAAAACGCCTCATGCTCGTTTTTTTTTTTTTTTTTTTTTTTTTTTTTGACGTCTAAACCTTCTCCACCAATCAGGTTGGCACTTTTGTTCACGTGCATGGAGCTGCTGAAGTTACAGTAAACAGCACTTGGAGGCGCTCAAGTGCAACACTGTCAATGCGAGCACACAGTGAAGAAGATACCCAGAGGGATATGAACATGCAGCTGCTTAATGCTCTGCTGAACACTCATCCTTTCCTCATCGCTAGAGCTGGAGCTGCTGCTTCAACCATCCATGCTTGTTCGATTCACCAGTATCTTTAACAACAAGTGTGTCAACTTTCTGTCCTCTTATTCTGTGTTACAATCGCGTGTCAGAAGCTTAAAGTTGTGTAGCGCCATCTAATGTCAAAGAGTGATTTTGCATCCTCATCTGCTCGACGCCAGTGAAAATCACCTGGGTTTGAATCCGGAAAAACTTATTGAAAAACGCTGACGATAAACACAAAGGAAAAGCTAGCCGGTGTGTACAAGCCTTTACATTTAAAAGTGAAACAAATGGGCGATCATAAGCAGAAGACCCTTAGCCTATAAGGTGTTTATGGAATATCTCATACTGATCAGCTAGATGTTTTCTTTCCCCTATTTATTTATCAGTTTGCCGCATGTACTTATGTGTGATCTGAAAACTAGTATAATGGCCACATGCTATCTTTACCAGACTCAGGCCATCTCCGCCTCTCCTTTCACTGCCCGTAGCCCCAGCTGGCCCTCTTTGGCCCAAGGTATTCAGCAGGCCTCGAGGAAGCCCTGCCTTGACCCGATCAGGCCCTGGAAGTGACAGTGGAAACACGACTGGCCTCGGCTCGCCCTGGCCCTCGCTCACTTTAGGCGCGATAGTGGAAACATGGCTACTGTGTAGTAAAGCGTCAGATAACTGGTGATCATTCAGCATGACGAAGCTATTAATATCATAATCAAACACAGATATTGTGGGCTGTACATAATCAATAGATCAGAGAATTAGTGATCGTCCTCGATGTGATTCTGTTTGGGAAAACTCAAATGTGTAAGCGCTAACTGTTTGAAGAGGCCAAGAATAAAGACTTGAGGAGAGATGTCACCAATATACTACATGACTGCAGCTAAACTATGCTTATATATAATAACTCTGTTTAACTTTTCCTTTGTTCAACCATTAAAAGCTGTCAGTTAGCTATAGAGTTATGAGTAGAGCCAGACAGAATCTGACTCAGACATTTCTGCTGAGAATTGTGCTACAAATCTGCAGTCGTATGCAGAATTATTGTGGGAGTATTATTACTAAAAACTTCATTTATGAAGTAAAAAATAATACCTCTTTAACTTTTATTCAATGTTATCAATGCAAATCCAATTAGATCCACTTTATTTAGTAAACAAAGCAAGTCTCTCATATAACATCTCCACTGAACAACAGAAAAGATGGCTGTACACACGGCACTGTACATAAATCAGATGAACATTTTCACATCAGTCAATAATATTAGTGAAAATAAATATATTATGAGTTATGGTGACTGATAGCCTTCAGTTTCCTGATTTTGACAGTCATGCAGTAATCTGCACCTTCTGTAAAGCTGTGTTGAAGCAGTCATTACTGTGAGAAACACTGTACAAGTCAACCTGAACGGATTGAGAATGAAGCTGTATTATAGTCTAACTGCCATCCTTCAGTAGAGTCTTTAAGATCATGTCAGAAACTGATTCTGGACCTGCATAAGGATGAGAATATATCTGTGTTCCTGGTGTGTGCTCTGCGCGATTAGAGAAGATGGCGATGTCCAGAACTGAATCTAGCCCAGAGATCTGCCAGTTGAGGCTCTGCTCCAGAAGGCTGTCGGGGTTTCCCGCACTGATTTCTGTCTTTTTCCTCTGCAGCTTCAGACTCAGCTGGACCAGGAGTACCAGGACAAGTTCAGGCGGCTCCCGCTGGAGATCCAGGAGTTTGTGCAGGAGTCTGAATCCGGAGTCCAGTCGAGGAGAGACTCTGCAGCGGTGGAGAAGCAGATCTCGGTGTGTGCAGATGCGGAGGAGCGAGCGGTGTTCGACACCTTGCTCTGAACACAGTTTACACCGCTAATGTGCACCTTTAGTACGACAACTGGAGGACTTACTTGAACAAATATAATCTTCCTTCCTTCCTTCTAAAACTCTTGGTTTTCACAAGAACTGCTGCTTACGTGGGTTTAAAGTTGCATATGTATCTTGAGGCAGACACACATGTGTTTAGAGGCTCCTCCTAATGGTTTTTAAGGTAACTTTAATATGAATATTATGTGGACTACTTAGGTCACGCTAACATGGGTGTTCAGGGGTGTTCATGCAGAGTTTTAGACGTTTAGTAGCTTTATATGAATCTGTCTTACAAACACACACACACACACACACACACACACACACACACACCTATAATGACACATGTACATCACAGTATAGAGCAGGGGTGGCCAACCCCTGTTCCTGGAGATCTCCCTTCCTGCAGATTTCAGTTGCGACCCATATCAAACACACCTGCCTGTAATGATCACGTGGTGTTCAGGTTCAGGTGTGTTTGATATGGGTTGCTACTGAAATCTCC